CATCCATTACAACTTGTTCTTGTTTTACAACTTCATTAAAGCACATTCTGTTCAGTTTCTCAAGCAATTGATCCATTCTATCCAGTAACTTGGTTGAGAGGTATTTAAAAGTTTGCACTAGGGATTTCTGCTCCATTTTCTTTATCCTCTGGCTCCCTGTAATGTCCAACCTTCAGAGTCTCCTTATCATAAAGAAATAAAAGCAATCACCATTTTCCCATGAGAAGATATCTTCTGATAAATTCTAAACTATAATTCCAAATTTCTCTGGCCCCTTAATCCATTATTAACTTTACAAAATCCATATACTAAGCACCTTTTTGCTGCATAGTCCCCACAAAATTATATATTTTCAAAACATTTAAGATCCAATTTACAGCATTGTCTTTTAAGGAGGCAGAGACTCACCCGATGAATACAGTAAAGCCTTGCCAGTCCGAGGGTCTTAATCTCTCCAAAATACAACACATAAAAAATTAATTTAAAAAAGTGATTAAGATATAAGGCTCTGTCGAGCTTAGTGTCCATAAGGCTGCTTTGCAAGTGTGAGCTTGATGTAATCCCGACTCCCAGCCACTCCATTGATAAGCTGACCATAAAATGAGTTTCCACGGTCTACTCATGAATAGTGGCTGTCCAGAGTCACATGGATGATTTCAGCAATCTCTCCTTTGATCCAGAGAGATTGCGCTGGTCCGGATCCAACATCCAGCCACGATTTCCCTTGCAAAATCTGTCTTACTAGCCAGCAAGCTAGTAAGACTTCAGCTCGCCATGGTGCTCATAGGAAGTGTCAGGCCTGTATAGGATTCTTGATAAAATTAACAATTGAAGTTGCTGCTAAGTGGGCAACACCCTTTCTGATTCAGGCTAGCCCTGATTTGGACAACCATGCCATTTGGGCACTAATGGCACATCTGAGAACTCATTTCAAGGATTCCGTTACGCAGGTGACAGCGAACTGCAAAATTCACTGTTTTTGATAGGATAAGCAATCAGTATGAGAGAATTCAATATAGTTTCTTTTGCTAGCTAAAGATGTCAGCTGGAATAAAAAAGGGTTAACTGACCAATTCAAAGAGGGCTTGTGTAATAAAAGATAATGAATTAGTTTATCAGAGTGCTTCAGATACAATTACTGTGTGGACTTACATGAGCCTGACAACTCAAGGACCTGCAGGTACAGTAAGTGCAAGTGGGAAGGAAAGACTCCATTATTCGTCTTCATTCCATTCTCCTTTCCCTTCCACCCTCACATAGGAGGTTTCTGAAATTGTACCCATGCAGCTGGGAGCCTGCAGGGAATGAAATTATTTCAGACTCATAGACCACATGTTAATAATAATGACATCACCTTCAGCTGCCCTGGAGCAAGGCCTGTGGACTGCAGAGGCTCAGTCCACCCATCAGTCATCACCTCACAGAATGGGAGCTCACCAGCCTTTCCTTTCAAATACTTCAACTAGGCAGATGTCTTTGGAAAAAGAGAAGCTCAGGTCTTGCATCTTTTCCATTAGTTTAATTCAATATTCATTCTGGTATGCAGTAAAAAGTCTTAGCTAGACTTGCTCTGTCAAGTACCTGAGTAACTCCAGCTACATTCATGACACCAGAAACATTCCTGAAACAAATAAGTATGGGAAGAATAACGGAAAATGGGGCTTATGATAATGCAGATGTGGAGAAACTAGTGAGAATTCCAGAACTTTTCTGGAAGCTTCAAGCACGGAATCTTCAGGTAATACTAATACTGTTTCCTATATTGATACCATACTGGGATACAGGGAGGATGTAGGTATAGAGAGCTTGAAGTGCTACAAATGCACTATTATGACACTGAACTTTTTTTTTTTCTTGAGAAGCAAAGGTCTCTTATCACAAAGGATGCTTGGAAGATGGCAAGGCAAAATACTTTGGATATGAAGAACAGAATGTTTTTTTCCTCTAAGATATCTTTTTTTGTTGTTGTGAATACTCACAAGACTACAAAAATATATCATTGCTCTCTAGTATGAAATAGTGACATTTTCTTTGTCTCTTCAGGAATGATATAGTGTAGAGATGGTTCACTGAAAATTCCCATCTGTGCTTTGAATGTACTCACAAGAAAAATAATACTCTGTGATGTTAAGAACATAGTACAGATGAAATTAAATATGCTTTGTAAATGAGATCACTTGTTTGGTTTTATTTTTCACCTGGTTTATAAGTGCAATCTGAAAATGTTTTCCTGGACAGTTTACTTTTCTCCTTAGCATCATAAATGTTATGTTGAAAAACAAAGCCAAAACCTTGTGAGAAAGGTACATTTGCCTCCCCATCTAGCACTTAGTATGGCTTTGTGAAAATACTTGTGGTGAAGGCATGGACATAAGCTTTGATTTTCAGGACCTTTCCAAAGTAACTTATACTACATATGGAGTTGTGTAATGAAGCCTTTTGTATATAATTTTTTGAACCAGGTGACACTAACATTCATTTGAATATGGTTCTTGTGTATTAATAACCACACTAAATCAATCTGAGGCCTAAACTAATAACTCATTTTACATACTTAAAGAGGTACAAGTTTTAACATCCCCCCAAAAATCAGTTCTTTTCTTTCCTCACCTTGTGAGTAAATCATTTCAAGATGGGGGCCCTGTCTACGTAAGAGTGGATTTGAGACTAGTCCTACAACTGTGTCCCTTGTGTTTTAAAAGCAGAGCTAAATAGTGCCAAGACTGGTTTGCTGGCACAAAAAAGGTCAAGAACAAAAGGGAAATATTAAAAGCTCTTTAGAAGATCAGTTTTATTTTTAGAAACAAGGCACAATATTTACTGGACTGAAGATAGAACAAACATATTCACTGTTATCCAGAGGGTAGGAATAGACCATAAAAGCAGAGAAGCAGGTTTTAATTAAACATTAGGATGCGGGCAGATGATCTTTTAAGTTCAGATGGCACATTTGACATTTTGCAAGAATATGATGAGGGCATTCATGAAATGACTACCATGGTGAAAATAGCCAGTCACAAAATATCAGTTTACCAGAAGGTGATCAAGTTCCTTAAGTTGCTGTCTACTATCCCAATGGGATCTTTGTTGTTCTAAATAAATACAACGTTCTGGTGCTTTGTGTCTAGTTAGTTTCTATTAAAAGAAAATTGAAATAAAATAAATAAATTAAAAAAAAAAAAGTTGGGTAGGGCAGGGAGCCTGGTAGCACCAAGGTGGGTGTCTCAAATTTTTGGTGCCAGTAGGCATTGTACATGCATCAGAAGATGCTTCCTAATGGAACATGCTGTTTGGCAGAAGAGTAAGCTGCCTCAGGAGCTCTCTTTCTCAAAGTAGTAAGCAGAGGCTAGGCATGCCTGCTACAGTTGCAAAACTCTTCTGCTGACCAGAATTTGGACTAGAAGACCTCCAGTTCAGTGATTCAGGAGGCCAAAAGCATGGAAAATTAAAACTCTCTTATTTGAGGAAAAGGTTGTAAAAGGAATATATTTTAAAAGACTTTTCAGTGGTTGCTGATTGGATTTGAAGTATGCTACCTGGTATATTTGTTGCATGTAAGCTGCACAATCTTGTATTGTTTTTGTTTGGGTGGAAAGTTGCCTGTAAGTTTTATTTGCAGTGAAGTTGCTTTATTTTTTAATGTGGTTTGGGAAGAATAGTCTGAATGTCTATGTGTTTTAGTGGAGAGGTGTGTTTTTGTGTGAATCTCTTTTGTTCCCTAGAAAGTGGATGTATTTTTGTTGTGCTACACCAAGTCAAGTATGGGCTTTAGCATTTGGATCTTAAACCCAGCTTCTGCCTTTTAATCTTCCCAAGAAATTGACTACATATCTTTTACAGCAAGCAGATTTCCAACTCAAATATTTTATGATGATGCCCATGATAATTTGTCACATTTTCAAATATGTCCTCAGACCTTCTTTTAGAACAGGAATACAAAAGCTAGTTGACAGAAAATGCCTTTTGGCAAATAAGCTTTTTGTTGAAATACTTTCTCAAAGAAAATCTTATGAAATCCTATAACTTTAGATGCTTTAAAGCTAAGTTTGGAGTGGCTTCAGGAAATATACTGCAGAAGTCATCCTGGTCATTAGAGATGCAGTTATGAGAAAACATCCATCTTTGAGCTTCTAGAGATTGTGAGTGCTGTTGTCTCCAAAGTGATAATCTTAACAAATGCCTTTTTACTTTCCTGATTTTGGTTAGGTAGGACTGTGGGTTCTATTGCTTTTACGAGGGATTATTAGATAAATATGCTGAATTTGTTCCAGAACTTGGTGGTACTTGCAAAGTGCTTAAAATTCAAAGTATTTTTTTTCTTTCTGTTTTCAAATTGATTCTCTGAGATATTCTAAGCTGGTAGCAGCTAAGTTTGATTATCATTTTCTGTAGTTTGATGTATTTAAGTTGTATGTGCTGAATAAATTAATGTTGGAAATCAAGCAGTAGTTAAAATGCATTTTTGAAATTTAGGCTTGAAATTTTCCTTGTCAATTTGTTCTTAATATCTTAGATTGAAGGCAAAATTATAGAAGATGTGGAACACCCAGCTCCTCCAAATCCTTCTGGTAACTGTCCTATTTGTCGCTGGAACTTGAAACATAAGTACGATTATATGGTGAGTTTTTATTCTAATATTTTCTAAAATATGCCAACTCTTATATAATCATGGCAGACGGCAGGAATCTTTCAGAGAGGAAGAATTGCAGTAAAGGATGTGATAATGTGTACATGTAGTATGCACAAAACTAAGATACATCTAACTATAATGTACACACATAAACATGTACAAGTAAGTTACATCTCTATATATGTTTGCTGCTTGGCAAAATGATCTTTTTCATAAATCTGACAACTTCAAATGATGTGGCAGGAAAAGGGTTCCATATTCTAGGATAGGAATCTAGGAAATTTCTAAAGTTAGTTATGTAGTTAAGCTAAATAACAGTAGATTTCCAGGGTCTTAAGGCTGAAGTCTATCCCAATTCTACCTAGAAAGACTAGGGATTAACAGTCGTTTATTTCATTTTGGGGACATTGGTGAACATTCCGTACACAGTAGCACTAGAATCTATGGGTTTTTGGAGCTCAGTTTATTTTCACATTGTTGACCAGCTATGTTGTTGAATATAATATAACTTTTGCATAATTTGCATTTCATACTGAACAAGCACTCTTAGAACTGCAAGTTAATTCATGAAATTGTTAGTTTTGTGTCTGTTGCACATTTAAGAAAAAGAAGTCCTGATTAGTATCAGAGGTCTACTATTTCTAGCAATTTCTGGTGAGTGGGCAATATGTTTTTCAAGATAAATAGGAGAAATTAGTATTATAGATCTCCCCTTTTATTTTTCAGTGGGTAAACCTTGGATCTAAACAATATCTTTCAGCTGTAGCTAAAATTCTCAAGAGTAAAATACCAAAAACTGTTCAAGACCAAAATTAATCACAGCCTGGATGAAGAAAAACAAATTGATACTTACTCCAGACTAGACAGCTGTGTTTCTGGTTAATTAAAAGGCAGCTCAAGGAAAGTTACTAAATAGTTTTAGCACCATTGGGTAAGGAAGGCTGAATATAAATCTGAAAAATATTTTGTTCAGCTATGCAGTGCCATTTCATCTAGCTTACAATCCATCCTAGGGCTCTGCAGCCTCAGTATCATAGAAGAGATTTGGATATTTTGCAATACAACTCTTTACAGTGCATGGGGAAACATAACTGCTGAGCAACCACACATCAAGCTGCCCTAACATCAGGTCCTGCTCCAGAAGAAGATAGGTTATGCCTATGAAGTAGGAGAAAAGAGAATTTGCAGCCCTGCTTTTAACTTCATACAAACATATATCAGGGATCCCTCATATTTATAATAAATTGTGTGGCTGCCACAACCAACTTTAGCAACATCTGTCCCCCCAGCTACATTTCACTTAAAAAAACATAGCAAACTGGGAGGCTGGACAAAACTTCAGACTGCAAAATAAAATCTGACTTCAAAGGATTACACACTCTGGTCACGCTATGCTCAGTAATTCTGAAATCCTGAATTTTTGAATGATTGTGGGCAGAAAACATTTCCTACAAGACTATCTCTTTCTGTTTAGTGAAATATTATGGCCCATCTGGAAGGAAAGCAGTTGCCTCCCCCTTCCTTACCCCACCCCTGCAAACACCACATAGATAATTAAGGTCCAATGCAGGATAGAAAGACCCCACCCAGAGGTGGCTTTGCATCCTTCTGCACATTAAATGGATCTAAAAGCTTGGCTCTGCATTTTTCCTACCTAATATGTGAAATAATTTCAGAAGAGCAATGAAGAAGAAAGGGAAAAAGAATGGAGAAATTAAGGTTTTAAAAGGAATGTGAATAGTGATATCTGAGCCATTGAAGCTATTGAAACAGTTCTTTAATTGCTAGTGTAAGAAATAAGATGTAAACACTCAGTAGTTACTTTCACAAAGGTTATTCCAAGCCTAGAATAGATAGAATGGCAAAAACCATACAAAGAAAGGAAACCAGACAACAATGTACCATTAAAGAGGAGGAAACCAAAGCTACAGTATTAGTTAATATCAGTGGGATTAATAGGCCACTGATACAAATGCATCTAGAGGAAAAGAAGTAACTTCTGAAGTGGCAGTCCTACAACTGAAAGAAAGAAAATAAGACAAATAAGTAGTTGAACTGAACTTTAAATAAGGAGTGACAATCTTGTGCATGAGCTTTCAAATAAATACAAATAAATACAAATAAAGAAATACTTGAGACATGGAATTACTTTGCATGTCCAGGTCACTTGTACATCAAGAGGGTTTGCTTAAATACTATTTCAATAACTTTAAAAAAACTATTTGAATTGTGTGATAGTAATGGAAAAAATCAGACAAATACCAGATGTTCTGAAAGCAATGATGATATGCCACATGTAAACTGCTGAGACTAAATTACACATGAAAATAGACATATGACCCAATTACATCTGCATTCAAAAGCTGTGGACACAAGTTGTGAGAGGTACCTGGTTGGAAATGTGATATGGTGGGAAGGAGGAATCTAAGCCCCTTTCTGTTGCAAGTAGCAGCTTTGCACCAATTTCTTTGTCAGAACTGTGGCAAAGAAAAAAAGATGACATTGCAAACATCTTTGCAATCCCAGGAGTGGGGATTGTTATTTACAATGTTGTCACTGCTATTTACTTTCATAGTTGTTAGGATTGTTATGTACACTGTTTAAAGCCATGCAGTATTAAGAACCATCACATAGACAAGTGAGGATACTGAGTACTTGTGATTTAATGAAGTGTGTAATAGCAAGAATTGCCAGAATTACACAATTAAAGGGTACTGTGTTCCATCTTCATTGACTATGCAAAAGCCTTTGATTGTGTGGATCACAACAAACTGTGGCAAATTCT